CTACGCTAACCGTTCCAATTTAGCAGTGTAAGACTAGAGGAAAAGCAACTAGTCATCACCACCCACCGCCAACTCTTGGGCTACCCTTTTACCAACGTATAGTGGGATTGACCGTCATGTTACAACGCCCCCACGGCTGAAAGGTCGAGCATATTTAGGTGGGATGGAGATTTGAACCCGCGACCCTCAGATTGTGAGTCGAGCGCCCTAACCACCTGGCCATGCCGGGCCTCCGAGAGTTAGTTAGCCGCGTTTGATTCTGTGCGATGTCACACAATATTCTCCACACTTTAAACTGTGTAAGCTTTATAAAAGTGATAGTCAATCCCTTGATATGGTGTTGCTGACTGGTTGCCTTCCCTCTGGGCATTAATTCAAAATTAGGAACGGCGGAAGAATACAAATGAATACAAATACTAATATATTTGAAGGCTTATTGTATGTTGATAAGTTTCCTCTAATTAAATATCCAATTTAGTTCCCCGATGAGTCAGAGGTAAATATTTGGACTTATAACACTAAATTTCGTGGTTCGATTCCTCGCGGAAGAAAGAACGCAAATAGCCCATTGTGTAGTTTTGCGCTAAAGATACGGCAATAAACAGTATTCTATTTTATTACTGCTGTTATTTTGAATAAATAAACTTACACGTGCATTAATAATAATTTAACGAGTTGTTCATTAAACGTGATAATGTTAAAGTTTCGCTATTTTTGGCTACTTAGCAGAGGCGGCGTTAAGGCGAGCTTGCTGGGGTTGAAGCCACCCCAGAATGTGCCCTAGCCCCATCTGGTAGGTCCTGCACCCAACAAACAATGCTTACTGTTAAAGTTGGTTCACTTCTTAAATAATACAGTGCCCGTGTCCACAAAACGTATAGTGAAGCCCATTCAATTTTTTATGCCAAGCCCACCTCAGCCCCCCATTCCGAGTATAAGCTGGTTCTGCTCTCTGCTGTTTAGGTTCACCTGATGGCAACCCCCATCTAGAATATCCAAATGAACCTAGAAACGACAACTCTCACTACGCTCACCAAGTGTGTTAAAGTTTTATATAGTGCTAATACTTGTCTGTTTGTTTTTTTTCGTGGCTTTCTTATGAGATACCAGTTGATGCTTCCGTTCAACCTATAAGAAAGACATAGGAGTCCCCGGGAGGTGGCGTATGGATATCAGATACGCCGATCCCTTATGTCACTCCCCAGGAGGTCATAAGGATATATAAAAGTTACGGCGGTTAGCCATTTCCAAGCGGACACACACACTGCACGGGGAAGACGTAGGGGCCACGAGAAGTGACATAGAAGGTTTGTTTGTTTGTTTGTTTTGAATTTCGCGCAAAGCTACACGAGGGCTATC